CACAACATATCACAACTCAACCCAACTCAACACAACACAACACAACTCAACACAACTCAACACATCACATCACAACTCAACCCAATTCAACACATCACAACTCAACTCAACACAGCTCAACTCAACACAACACAACACATCACATCACAACTCAGCACATCACAACTCAACACAACACATAACAACTCAACACAACACATAACTCAACACATCACAACTCAACACATCACATCACAACACAACACATCACAACTCAACACATCACATCACAACTCAACACAACTCAGCACATCACAACTCAACACAACACATAACAACTCAACACAACACATAACTCAACACATCACAACTCAACACATCACATCACATCACAACTCAACTCAACACAACACAAGTCAACACAACACAACACAACTCAGCTCAACACAACTCAATATCACAACTCAACACAACTCAACACAACACAACTCAACACATCACATCTCAACTCAACACAACACAACACATCACAACTCAACACAACACAACACATCACATCACAACTCAGCACATCACAACTCAACACAAAACATAATAACTCAACACATCACAACTCAACACATCACATCACAACTCAACACAACTCAGCACATCTCAACACAACACATAACAACTCAACACATCACATCACAACTCAACTCAACTCAACTCAACACAACACAACACAACACAACACATCACAACACAACACAACACAACACATCACATCACAACACATCACATCACAACTCAACACAACACAACACAACACATCACATCACAACTCAGCACATCACAACTCAACACAACACATAATAACTCAACACAACACATAACTCAACACAACACAACACATCACAACTCAACACATCACATCACAACTCAACACAACACATCACAACTCAACTCAACTCAACACAACACAACACATCACATCACATTTCAACCCAATTCAACACATCACAACTCAACAAAGCTCAACTCAACACAACACATCACAACTCAACTCAACTCAACACATCACAACTCAACACATCACATCACAACACAACACATCACATCACATCACAACACACCACCACAACTCAACTCAACTCAACACAACACAACACATCACAACACAACACAACTCAACACAACTCAACACATCACATCACAACTCAACCCAATTCAACACATCACAACTCAACACAACACAACAACAACACAACTCAACAACTCAACACAACTCAACACAACACAACACAACACATCACATCACATTTCAACCCAACTCAACACATCACAA